GTCTTGTTGATGTTAAAAATCGTGGAAATGCGTGGATACAGCCATTTATGCATCTAACCTTATTGAATACATGAATTTCATGGGGGAGTAAATTAATCGTGCAAAGTGATTCACTACTGTTTACCCTCCTCAAATTAAGAGTATTTGCATCATTATTTAATGCCTAAAAACTCATCTCTTTCAGACCTGCCTCATTTACTTACAAATAAAATGTATCAGAGTTTATTTGCAGTTTTGGTGTGGTTCTTTTGGGCAGGTGTGAAAGGGGCAAATCGTATTAGGTGAACATGAACCGACCTCAAACTGACTCAAATGCAGAAAGTCCTTCTTTTATGTGGACTAAATCACATGCATTCTGGGATGATGAAAAGTTTTTGACACTTTAACACAATTATGGCAGGTCATGGAGTGGACAAACATGGCTGTGAGGAGGTTCATAGTGCCTGCAGACTTTTCCTCCGCTCTTTGTTTACTTCCGTGTGTTTCCCACATGGTAGTTCTTATCAACAAAATGCAGTACTGAAAATTTGTCTAGTCAACTACTGATGTGGATGTTGTCACGTGACTGCTTTTTGGTTAGTTTTAACTTGTTTGTTCTAGAGCAGTTGGTCTGGTGTGAAATGAAACCAAAACAGCTGAAAGTGCTATATAATGTATTATTTTATATATATATATATATATATATATATATATTATAAGGTCCAGTATGTAAGTTTGACATCCAGTGGTTGAACTAGATATTGCACAACTGGTTCAAAACACGTGCAATTGCAGGTTGCCAGATTGACGATACTACCAGGAGTGTGTCTGATTATCGAGCCTAAAGGCTGATTTAAGGCCGAATTAAACCATGTTCTAAATAAAAGCAACAGTACGCGATAAAGGGAATATTTTCCATATTAAAAGGAGTTTTTGTTCTAACCAACAGCTGCAAAATTATATAATAGAAATGGCTTCTATTTCTCACAGCTGATCAAACTGACATTGATCACCTTAGGTAGACCTCGTGTGCTTTATTCAGTGTTAAAGACTAGTAATGTGAGTTTGAATGACATTTTACATGGTATTTATTACCATTCTACTGAAAGCAGCAGCAGAAAGTTCACTTCAAATCTTGAAAATAAAATTAATCATTTGAAAATTGAACTGAAGAACTGTGACTCAGTGCAAGCCAACACATATCAGTAATTCAGCATGTAGTGTTAAAGAGGTTTAATATGTATTAATTAGATTATAAACCATACCATTTTGTTGGAGTGCATTAGGTGCACATATTCTGTGCTTCTGAATGGCTGTATTTAAATTTCTGTCATTTTGCATCTGGTGCAAACAGCCAAATTGCTCATCACTGCAAATCTCATAGTTTGTTGTTAGGACACGGGGTTACAATGTAACCTGCTCACTTAATGTTTACGCTCATAATATTTATATTATTCGCTAATTCATAACCACCTCATGTGAATTCTGAATCTGCTTTTCATTTCGGAGTCTGCTACTGTCCACCAGAGGTCGCATTTTGGTCACTGACACTTACTTTGAGAGCTTTCCTGACTGAATGAATGAAATATATGGTTTGCCACCAAGACAACCCGGGGTGCCTAAATGTAATTGGCCGAACTGGCATTGGGCGGGTTAAAAGACTCAATCAAAGACTGATGTTCCGTCATGTTATGCACATTTTCAAAGCAGAATATTTGTCTTTAGCATTGTTTTTCAGAAAAACAAGTATGTTTACTTAGCATGATTTTTAAATATCTGCAAGCATACTATGGTATTTTATGCTTTAGAATGAATAATTTATAATTATAATTAATTTATACAGCACCTTTAACTGTGGTTCAGACCACAACCCTTAATGTTGAGCTTGAGACTATTCTAGGATTTCTGTTTCAGGATTATAATAAGAGAGTGTAATAATAATAAAAATAAGACATTTAATTATTGAATTAATCTTACATGAAATGAAAACATCCCCAATAAGCAGCGTTGAAAAGTAAATGAATTGCAATATTTACCTATTTAACAGACAGGAAGCATTCGAGCACTAAATAAACCAGATGCAAACAGTCAGTTTACTCATTGTCAGCTTTGCCTAGCAACAGTCGTGGGATAGAGGTTTGACCTTCATCATATGCAGAGGTTATTAAACTGCTGTGCACTGTCCAGAGAGAACTTTATTTCACCTCACAGCAAATGCATGTTGTGGAATGAGAAATGACAATCTGCATTTTCATGGCTGTAATGCATTTATGTGAATAAAGTGACACATGCACATACATATTAAAACAGTTTCCATAATCTGATCCTGGTTCTCTTTTGTACATGTCCCTTATTTGACACTCCTAGTTCAGTTTGTGAGATAATTACATGTGTTTGATGAGTCCAAGCATCTGTAACGTTTGACTTGACTGTTTTAAAGATCCACTTATGTGCCGTATTCGCTGCATAATATTAGTGCAATAATTGTGAAATTTCCAGCTTATCTGAAGCCGTGCTCCTTTTTCAAGCATGCCATTTTTCTTTAAAGAGAATTTGAAAACATGTAGACTCAAAAGACACCTTTGAAAGTAGCTCTTTGACGTTTCTTCGCTGCATGGAGGCTTTCATGAAGTTATTTATTCTTACATTTATGCATTCCGCAGATGCTTTTATCCGAAGCAACATTCAGCTCTGAGTTTGAGGAGATTCTGATTTCATGGTTTCTCTACTGCACTGATCTTCTCTCAAGGTTATTTAAATGTTTCTCAAGTAAGACAATATATATTTCTACAAACAAGGATTGTTAAATAATTGTTTTAAATAATCCTTTTATTTAACTATATTATAATAAACTATATTTAAAGAAATATAGTTCCAGCAAAGAGCCTCAGAAGACAATATAAATCATTATTTTATGTTATAAGTGTTTTTAATGAAGCTTTGTTAAATGATGAAGTGTTGCTGGAGATGAAGAGCAAGGACTTTGACATGAAGTCTGAAATATAAAGATGCATTTAACATTAGAGTATTGTTTACTTATTTTATTCATGAATTATTCATGGTTATTCATGAAAGTCATTCCTGCACCGCTCTGTTTGCTGCTTGCACAACATTGTCCTTTGTTCAAGGAAACTCTCATGCCTTTATAGTGTTTAATTAAAATATCTTCCCCTCTTCTTTCAGTCTTCTCTAGTGGTCCACAAATAGAAAAGGTAGAAGTGCCAAAATAGATTTTACTGTTTATATGAAACTGGAAAAGAAGCCTACTTTTGCCTTTATAATGAAGGTTGATGCATTTCTATTGACTTTATTTTTCAGATACGAGCAGGTTGGAAGTCATTGGAACCTTATTGACTCAAGACGTCTGCTCTCATTTACTATCATTCATTTTTATATGTTAAAAACAGCTTATTATTGCTTAGTTAGCTTATTTTTATGTACAGTCATAAACAAACTGTTTTCTGCCCTTTATTATCCATGGTCATTTCTCCCATAGGCTACTAATTTAGAAGAATGAGGTCAATAGGATCGACATCAGAAGGGTTTGATGAGCCAATTAGTGTTGAGATTTTTGACAAAAGGTTTTCTTGTCAACCCAGTCATGTATGCTCTGCCTAAAGTTCATAAATGGCCATAGAAACCAAAAGGGTTATTCAACTGTAGATTAATAGGGGCTACCTTTTTATTTTTTGGTCATGCAGATGATAATAAGACATTATTTAAAAATGTGAATATTTCATATTTATTTAAAACAGTTTACCTTTATTACAAGAGAGAGAGAACAAATAGGATGTGATTTGAGGTGCAGTTAGTCACGCAGTTCTTATTTTAAATAACCTTTTGCATATTCATATTGTTTTGTTAATGTATGAATTAAATAAAATATTTTTTTTGTATGGGATTTAATGGATTTTTGTATTTTATTGGTCATAAATACAATTGTTCAATCTATTTATTCAATTAATGGTTGATACATTTTAACAGGAAAACTGGCTACTAGGAATTTTCATAAATTGAATGAAAAATTCACAAATATCAGTTCAATGTGGTTTAAAATCATTACTGAGAGTCAAACACTGAAGAGCAAATTCATCGATGTGTAGCTCTACCGATCCTGAACCATGCAAGCTAGAGGCGACAGCGGAGAGGGAAAAAAACTTCACCGATAGGAGAGTGAAGAAAAAAAACCTTGAGAGAAACCAGACTCAGTTCGGCACGACTATTTTAATTTCTCCGCTGGCCAAAAGTCTTGTGCAGAGCTGCAGTCTCAGCGGTGGAGGCTGGAAGCTGGCCTCAGCCAAGACTCGTCTGTCCCTGGAGCATCACTGGAATCAGTCTCATGCTCTCCACTCCCCCATGTCCACCACCGCAGCGGCAGCTCAGGATACGGACTGGTCCCGGATATGGAGACCTTGGGATCATCTCGTTGCTGGTCTTGGATCCAATCAAATTTCATAAGCAATATAATATGACGTGATAAAAACAAAATGCCATTGGCTGTTTTTTTTTTAAAAAGGGGAGGATCTACACTATGTTCTGCCCTGTCTGCAAAACAACCTCCTGGATATACTTTATCCCACTTATTACATGTTTACTTGTCATAAAATATTAAAATTAGATACAAAATATAGTTCTGATATGTAATAGTTTATTAATTATTTCATTAAAGCCAAAGCTGGCAGAAATTAAAATAGCTGAATGGAGCTGATGGAGTATACACTAACCTTTATATTATTCAGTCACAAGATTCCACCATACAGTCAAAAACAGCAGCGGAGCATATGGTTGTGAACGTATTTACTGATGGTCAGGATGGTTTGAGGTACCTAGATGGGCCTGTGTTATTCAGCAGTAGTTATGTTGGAGTAACATTCCTTGGAATGTGGTGACTGACTAATCAGAATCAGATATTCCATACAGTCAGTTCAGTATTTACTACCAACTTCCTCAAATGTAATATACTCATTCTACTAAAGTGTCTTCTTTCTAACCTGTGAATCCTATTGTTTTGTTGTCCACAGCGATGCAGAGTCTTCTTGATACTCTGAGTGACAGTACCAGCTCCACCACAGCCAATGACCTGGACCTCATCTTCCTGAAAGGAATCATGGAGAGTCCAGTCGTGAGTCGGCCTTTTTTTGACACCCATGTGTTTACACTGGCTCTTAGCAGAACAAAAGCTTCAAAACTAACTCGACAAGAACACAAGTATTTCACGCCTTTGTTTAAAAGATAAATCTCTGTCCTTACAAAAATGCAAAACCCAATGTAATGTATGTTTAGGTCTTGCTGGCAGTAAAAAGCATTTTATGCTGAGTTTGCACCAAACACAGAATTACTTATTTGCATCAGTATACTGCACACAATTCAAGGACACTAATGTGTGGAATTTGCCTCAATTGCATGTTCTGCGTTTCTTGTGAACCCAGCCATGTTGCCCAATCCAAAAGGCAAACACAGCATGCACACTGAGGCAAAATCTCCAGTTGTAGTGTCCACATGACCACTCTACACTCTTTTTTTAAAAGGTACACATTTGTACTTGAAGGGTCCATATTGGCTCCCTTAAACTATATATTATTAGTACCTACAAATTTTAAGAGGAACATTTTTGTACTCTTTAGGTACTAATGTGTACCCTTAAGGTATTAATATGGGCCGTTTAGGTACAAATTTGTACCTTTTGAAAGTGACAACTCGCGTACGTTTATTTCTGAGTTTCGCAAAGTCTTTATTCTTGTCAGTTGAAAACTTGAAAGTTTTGGTTTCAGTCACTTAATAAAATCTGTGGTTTTGAAAAAAAACATTCGCATGGACAGGACCTTTATCCAGGAATAATTATTTTTCCAGGTATGTTCACAAATACGAGGAATTTGTTTTAATGACAGAGCTTCTACTGTGCAACAGACTTACAGATACAGGACAGAAAACAGATAATAAATATATTTCAAAATAAAAGTAAGCAGTGAATTCCAATAAACAAAATGACAAGTGTGTGTACAGGTACAGTTGAAGTCAGAATTATTACCCCCCTTTTAATTTTTTTCTCTTTTTTAAATATTACCCAAACGATGTTTAACAAAGCAAAGAAATTTTCACAATATGTCTGATAATATTTTATCTTCTGGAGAAAGTCCTGTTATTACTTGTAAAAGTCTTTTTATTTCGACTAGAATAAAAGCAGTTTTAAATTTTTTAAACCCCTTTAGGCTTTTTTCGATTGTCTACAGAACAAACCATCATAATACAATAACTTGCCTAATTACCATAATCTGTTAACCTAATTAACCTAGTTAAGCCTTTGAATGCCACTTAAAGCTGTATAGAAGTGTCTTAAAAATATCTAGTCAAATATTATTCACTGTCATCATGGCAAAGATAAAATAAATCAGTTATTAGAAATGAGAAACTCTACATTAATAAATGTTAGTAAACAGTTTATAACTAAAGCTACAAATGCTGTTTTCTTGACTTAGAACCACATTTATACTGCTCTTAATAACTGAACTTTTATACTTTGTTTATCATTTATTTTGCATTACTAAATTTAGTATTTCATTATTTACAAATCAGTTATTTAAGCATAGTTGGTTTCTTTTTAAGATCATTCAGAATGAGTTAGTAAATAATTAATAAACTATTCAAATTAACATTTATAATTCAGGCATATACTAATAGTTAATTTGTATGTTAAAAAATGCTTTATTAACTCAACTTCATGCAGTTTTGTGACCTAATCTAAAGTGAGGACTATTTATGCTTTATAAATTCCTTATAAATGATGATTAAATGCTCAGTTCTAAAGAGGAAAAAAAAACAAAAAAAAAAAAACGACTTTATTTATACCCAATTGTTTGAAGCTACACAAATGAAACTGAACTTCAATTGAAAAATAAATCTTTGCAGCCTAATCTTTAATAAAATTACTGTACAGTTTAAACATCACATCCTGTTATACTGTTAAATTATTATATTGTTGTTATTTTATACAATTTTATGTCATATTTTGACACTCCTGTCATTCAACAATGTTTAATCTTTACAGTAATTTTACTTTTTAGATAAGATTGCAAAGATTATTAAGAGCATAAGAGCATCTAATCATCATTTATAAGGGATTTATAAATCATAAATAGTCCTCGCTTTAGATTAGGTCACAAAACAGCATGAAGTTGAGTTAATAAAGCATTTATTAGCATACAAAGTAATCATTAATTTATGCCTGAACAATAAGATGTATAAACATTGATTTTTAATAGTTGATTCATCATTTACCAACTCATACTGAATGATCTTAAAAACTACCAACTACTCTTAAATACAAATGGTTTGTAGATAATGCAATAATTCATTTAGTAATGAAAAATAAATCATTAACAAGGTATGAAAATACAATTTTTAAGCACAGTATAAATGTAGTCCAGAAAAGAGCATTTACAGCTGCAGTTATAAACTGCTTACTAACGTTTATTAATGTAGAGTTAATGCTTAACAGATAATGAATTCACCATATGCTAATGCTTAATTAATGGTTCATAGTGTGTAGTTATTATAAAGTGTTACCAAAAAATCTTCTCTCCGTTAAATAGAAAAAGGGAGAAAAAAAAAAATAAACAGGGGGGTGAATAATTCAGCGGGGTAATAATTCTGACTTCAACTGTATATTACTAAATACAACATTACATGTGCAGCTCTTACAGTGTATGTGCAAATTGGCATGTAAAGTATGTTGTTAAATAAATAAGTGTATATGTGTATAACAATTAGTGATGTTTGTTTCACGATTACTATAATAAGGTGTTCATGAGAGGGATTGCCTGTCGGGCTGTTCTGCTGCACAGTGCTCTGTAGCGTCCACCAGAAGGTAAAAGTTCCAAGAGGAAATGTGCTGGGTGTGAGGGGTCCAGAGTGATTTTGGTAGCCCTTCGCCTTGTACAGTTCTTAGCGAATAGGGAAGGTTGTTCCAGTGATTCGCTTAGCAGTCCAAACTGTTCGATGTAGTCTTCTGAGGTCAGATTTGGTAGCTGAGCTATACCAGACAGTTATTGAGACTGATTAAATGATTCAATGCCTTAATTTAGAGTTAGTGTTTTTAATAAATAGGAATTAATAAGAACGGTTTCACATACAGTACAGATGGCAATATTGTCACACAGATCTCTGAATGTGACTAAAAAGTAGTCCTTTGAACCGTCAAACATGTATGTTCTTGTAGTCCACTATTGCTGTTTTGCTAGCACTTGTCTATACTATAGTCACGATATTAATCACATCAATCTCAGTGTTACATTTGTCACCCAAATTTTCACCTCCCAAATATCATCCAGATGCATTGCAAAATATGTTTTTTTGTTTGTATTATTTTAAAATTTACTTAAATGAAAGGTCTCAAATTGCCATTCTTCTGGCAGTCCTTTTGATTGGTAGTCCTTGCCTCAACAAAGTCGAGGTCAGGGATCTTGGGCTTAAAAAGGCTGGTGACCACTGATCTAGATGAACTGCGCAAAAAAGTTTTAAGTTGAACAGTGTAGTGCAAGCACCAGCCACAACTTTTTTTATTTGATGATGGATGAAATATTGATGCTCCAGCAAACAGCCAGAACGTACAGGACTTTGTTTACTGTGCTGTTTGGCCGCAGGCTGGGATTTGGTGTGTTGTAGACTTGTATAATAAGCTGTTTGGATTTGTGCTGGTGGATTTTTCCTCAAGGTCAAATCTGAGACTTGTCAGAATTATTTTTGAATTTCTCATAAATGTTTAACAAGGATCTTTTTATGTATTATGTTGCTAATGCAGTTATTTCTTTATTTAAACTACAGTGTATAGAGTCAGAAATACCGATTTTCTATGAAAATTGGTTCTAAATATTTAAACTGTTTAATTATTCATTTTTTGCAGTGTTGATAATGTATCATATTTTTCAGCACTAAAGGACTTTAACGCCATAGTGTGCATTTCATTTAAATAAATAAATAGTACTGTGTTTCAGAGCAAAGCACATTAAAGTTTTAGAGTGTTTGTTGGAAATCCTACACTGCTTTGAAAGCTACCGTCACTAATAAAATATTCAATAAGTTTTATTTCTATAGATATTTATTCACCAAAAATGAGATAATGTTTTAAAGGCACAACAGGAAAGAAAAATCAGCAACTTTCATGATTACACAATGAGTCACGGTGTCATCAAACTACACCCTTGTTTGTTGTGAATACAAACTCTCTAGTGGTGAAAATGACATATTGTGCTTTTAAACAGAGTAGGTCAATATATTCGTTACATTTTCTAAATGTTCTCAGCATCTCCTCAGCCTGGTCTTGTAGCTGTTTTACATGAAGAAGATCATGAAGAAGATTACATTGTCCAGTTTTTTCCCTTATTGAATTTGTGGTTTATTTAGCCACATGAAGCAGCAGCAGGAATGATCTAAAACATTTATCACCATTGTGACAGAAAATGAATGCACTCCCTTAAACACACTAGCAGAAAGGCAGTGTAATCCTTTTAATATGTTGTCTAAACCAGGAATTCCCTAACTTTTCAGCCCGCGACTCCCAAAATAACAATGTCAGTGACTCTCGACCCCCATTTTTCAAGGTGGTTATATATACAGTATATACTGTAAATAAACATTGCAGACACAACTATAGGCATATATAAACATGAGCATATTGACAACACAAAAATGCCACAGCCTATTTACTATATAATGCTTTTTTTCGTCATTTATTAATTTAATTACATTATAGTATAAAAAATTAAAGGCTGATGGCTTTTTATTTGTGTGTTGTCGTTTCTTTAACGCAACTATTAATTCTCTTCTGTGAGTTATAAATAAAATATAGTAATTCAAATAGTTAAATAAAATTTACTTAATATCACCAAGCCACTCCTTGTCATTGTCCCGCGACCCCCCATGGGGTCCCGACACCCACTTTGATAACCACTGGTCTAAACCATAGGTCTCAAACTCAATTCCTCTGCTTTTTCTGTTTTGCTCCAACCCTAATCAAACACAGCTCATCCAAATAATCAAGTGTTCAAGACTACTAGGTCAGCTGTGTTTGATTAGAGTTGGACCAACACTGTGCAGAGCTGCGGCCTTCCGGGAATTGAGTTTGAGACCTATGGTCTAAACCACAGGTGTCAAACTCAGTTCCAAAAGGGCCGCAGCTCTGCACAGTTTAGTTCCAACCCTAATTAAAGACACATGATCAAACTAATTGAGTGCTTCAGGCTTGTTTGAAACCAACAGGTAAGTGTGTTGGAGCAGGGTTGGAAATAAACTGTGCAGGGCTTCGGCCCTCCAGGAATTGAGTTTGACACCCCTGGTCTAAACAAAACATCTTCACAGAACTTAACATGGTGTGATGTCAGTTTCATATTTAAAAAAAAAAAATAGATATTATATTTCTTGTTAACAATATAAAAAAAACTAAAGCAGAATCATTTTTGGATCCAAAAGCAGGTTTTATCAGTGGTCAGGCAAGCAAAGGTCGATTCAGGTGCAAACAGGTATATGGAGACAGTCCAGAATCGTAGTCGAATAACAGGTAAGGAGGTCAGAAGGCAGGCGGCAAACAAAGACAAAAGGATAAGCTAGGCTAAGGTCAAAACACGGAGAAGCAAGACAAGGAAAACGCGTTGTAGTGTTACTATTACAGTTAACAAAACTCGGCAAACTGAATGGGTGAGTGTGTGTCTTAAATAGTGTGTGCAATCAGTCTCTGACAATCCTCAGGTGGTGTGAATGTAATCAGTTTAGATGAGGAAGCGTCTGTGTCTGGGCGAAGTGCATGTATGAATATGTAGTCCAGAAATGGCGGAATTGTAGTCCATGAGTATTTGTGAGAGAGATCCAGCGATCTATGGAGTAGTTATTGTGACAATAACATTTGAACAACACCCATTCTTGTCTAAAGACATTTTTTTGATCCACTTTTGTCTAATTATTATTAGATAGAACTGTTTAATGCTGCAAAGTTAGAACGTTCAAAGTGTTTTAAAAATGAAAGTTGCCTCATTTACATAACAAAATTCAGACACATCAACCACACTGTAAAAAGCTTTAAATGACTCTACTTAGAAAAAGTGAGTAAACCTGTAAACTCTTTCAAAGTTAGTAGTTGACTTTATTTAGAAAAAAAATTGTAAACCTGTTGTTTTTAAGGTGACTAGTTGACTTTACTTGGAAAAAGTTGAGTAAACCTGTTAAAAGATAATAGTCTTAGATGCAATTTTTGGAGGGCCGCACCTCTGAATTGTACAGCTCCAATCTCCTTCAACCCACTTGCTTAATAGTCTCTAGTAGTCTCGAACACTTTGATTAGTTGGACCAGCTGTGTTTGATTAGGGCTGGAGCAAAACTGCAGAGCTGCGGCTCTCCAGGAATCCAGTTTGAAAGGTGTTTTAAAGTGATTAGTTGACTTTTTAAAAAAATAAGTAAATTTGTTGCCTTAAATTTAAGTAAACAAACAATATGCATAATTTAAATGAAGTCTTATTTAATTTTAATTCTTAACAGTTCCAAGTTACAAGTTTTCTCACTTTTTTACATGATGCTGATCACAATATGCTGGTTATTGAATCAAATATTGGTCAATTAATACTTTGAATGTTGTGTGTATGCAGTCTCGTGAGCACTATGAAGAGCCGAAGCTGGAGGCGGTGAGGGACAATAATGTGGAGCTGGTGCAGGACATCCTGAGAGACCTGAACACCCTTTCACCTGATAGTCCTGCGGCACATGAGCTCATCTGCATCCTCAAAGAGCCACACTTTCAGGTACATGCAGAGTCAGTCAGACACAACACCTTCCATTGGGTTTCATTTTGATTATTAAAGAGGCCTTCCTAAATACCTCAAAAAAAATGTTTCTCTCTCTACAGTCTTTACTTGAAACGCACGACTCTGTAGCATCCAAAAGCTATGAGACTCCTCCTCCCAGTCCTTGTGCATTTATGGACCCCGCGTTCAACAACCAGCCGGTGCCCCCTGATGCTGTGAGAATGGTGGGCATCCGCAAAGTGTCTGGAGAGCATCTGGTGAGCCTCTAGAAGTTTTTATTATGCTTGAAAAATGAACTGAACTGAAATGTAAAAGTAAAGTTAAGTATATGACTGCTTATAAAACTCTAAGTAAAAAACTAAGGAAAACATTGTGATGGGTCACAGTTTATTTTGATGGTCTGTTTGTTGAATTTAAGTTACATTGCATCTTCATGCTAACTAATTCTCATTATATTATAAATGGAATGTTAGGTTGGGTTAGGGTTAGTGTAAGTTGACATGTATTGTATTTGCAAAGTTTCTTATATTCAGTTACATGTCAGTTGAAGGAGCAGTATCAACAAATATTAAGCAGACAGTCTACTAATACTCAAATTGACCATCAAAATAAAATGTTATCCTGTAATGTGATGTGAGGTGCTATTCAATAATGATATGTGTTATTTTTTGCCACTAACAGAAAGCAAAATGTGTGTTTTCAAATAGACCCTATATTAAATAGAAAGATTTCTGCATTTGTTAGCATTTCTGGATTTAGAATGTTTACTAAAGTATTTCTGTAGGGTAGCATATTAGCGTAGCAAGCAATTATTAAATAACTTAAATAATATAATACAGTACAATATACTATTGAACTTCACTGATGAAGTATGCTCTGTATGAACAGTGAGCTGTTTTAAAAAATATTCTAACACTAGATAAAACAAAATTTTATTTTGAGTGTAAATAATTACATGATTATTTTGCAAGATACCAGTATTTACTAGCCACAGCCATATTAACCTGCAGCCCAAGACTGGGCTAAACCACTTGCTGTTGGAAGTGGTGTTAGTGAGGCCAGCAGGAGGCGCTCAACCTGCGGTTTGTGTATGTCCTAATGCCCCAGTAAAGTGAAGTGGACATCAAAAAAAAGCATAAAATAAAGCATAATTATTTGGTTAGTTGTTTTTTATGTGAAGTTTTTTTGAAACCAACATTTTGAATGTAATAGAAAATCGTAAACTATTCAATAAAGCTGATATTGTTATTTAGAAGCACTCAAGCGAAGCAGTCTGTGCCACTTTGCTTGAATCTCAAACTGTTTCCTCTGGTAGGGTGTGACATTTCGGGTGGAGGGTGGAGAGCTGGTGATTGCCCGGATCCTGCATGGGGGCATGATTGATCAGCAGGGTCTGCTGCACGTGGGTGACATCATCAAAGAGGTCAATGGAAAAGAGGTCGGGAGTGACCCCAAAGTCCTGCAGAACATGCTGAAAGAGTCCAGCGGGAGCGTGGTCCTCAAGATCCTGCCCAGCTACCAAGAACCACACACACCACGACAGGTGGGCAACATTCTGACATACACTGAGTTTTTTCTGAGTAGTAAGTGAAAAGTGTGTAGACGACATAATATATGAAATGCTGAATCTAATGGACACTTAAAATCCCCATGAAGTTATGGGAGAATATTTATCAATGGCAATGAAGCAGTCAAGTTGAGGTCAAGTCAGCTTTATTTCTATAGCATTTTTTACAATGTACACTGGGTCAAATCTGCTTTACATACAGTTGATGAAGAGCGAAAATCCATAACAATATTTATGATCATTGAACATACTGTATCAGGCAGGCAGCAGAGTAGTGTTAGAATTCTGCTGTAGTTCTGATTTAGTTCAATTTTATATGAATGTCACTGTTGAATGACCATACTCTTGATGAACAACTCCACCAAAGCAGTGGATATGACAATCACAACATGGTGAAAGTAGTAAATATGAGTTTCATACACATTTATTTCATACAGAACATACTTTTTAACAGTCATGAATTACCTTTCAGAGCAAATGCAATACTGTACTACCAGGTTGTTGGGTTGAAACTGTAAATATATATATATATATATATATATATATATATATATATATATATATATATATATATATATATATATATATATATATATATATATATATATACGTACTTATATGCGTAGATGATAAGAAAGTAGTGGAATTTCAATGGGAAATCAATCCACGTTTCAAGATGTGAAACAGTTGCCTTTGTAAACTGACTGAAATGTTGAAGGTACAGACAGGGGAAATAATTGTTTTATTTGGTAAATGATTTTTTCCCCAAAATAGAGTCTACTTTAATTTAATATTTATTGCAGAGATTCACATTAGTGTCTGTTTAGCAGGCTTCTGTTTTAAAATAATTCACACATAAGATGGTCAAGTATTATGAAGCCTTTTTTCCTTCTGTATTCAGTATTTACTGCAGGTTTGTAGAGGAAATAAAACAAATATTTCTCTCCAATTTTCTTAAAAAAGCTGTAATGTCATATAAAATTCTTTGTAATTGTATACATTTGATTGTGTTAATGACAACTACCAAAGTCCCTTTAAAGCAAGTCATTTCACTTGGCGGCCATCTTTGAAATGCCTCTCGGGCAGCATGCTCTGGCATTGGCACTCCAAAAACTGCTCGCCAAGCTTCCGATTAAATTTCATATTAGGAATCACCAATAAAATTAAACAACAGTCTTTAGTTTCAATTCTAAATGTCTGAATCACACAAAATCTGCAGAAACTCACATCTGGTCCAAACCCCTCCCCCGGAACATCATCAGTCTATAGCAATCAATGATTGGCTCCTGTACTAGAAGGCGGGCTTTATTCGCCATATAGCTATCGATGATTGGCTCCTGTACTAGTAGGCGGGGCTTTATTCACCATATTGTCCGTTACAATTTTCCCCATTCAAAAAGATGCGAGTGACACGTCTTATGTATTCTATAGTCTTTGCAACTGCTCGAACACAAGATTCACTTGGACAGCATTTTTGTTATTGTTTGCTTGTTTAACCAATTCAACATTACATAATCAGTATGGTGTAAAATAAATAAAGGTCAGTATTACAAAGAATGACAAGCAGGATCTAGCGCTTACATTTTAAAAGATTACTGACTAATTAGAGGAACAGAACAAATGAAGATGTCTAAGTTCTTAAGGCTTGTCCAACTGTTCAAATTTACTACCCTTTTGTTATGTTAGGGACGAAAACATCCACAAAATTAAACTGCGGTAAAAACACATCAGATTAATATTTTCTTTTCCATTTTTCTTTTCTCAGTCCTGACCAAAACTACTAAATTGCTTAGAAACATTAACAGGATTTTAATTTCTTTCTATAATTGCCAAATTCACATATGATGTCACTGATTTGGTGAGAAAAAACACACAAAGGGACGTATTTTCTATATAAAAAGTAATTGTGGACTAGATTTTTTACCTTTTATCATAGTCTTAGACATGTGAACGATTAGTACCAACATTGGCTTTGATGTTCTGATGCAGTGATTTTCATTTTTTCTAATTTACTCTTGGTAGCTGTTTTTGCCCCATTGACTTCCATTATAACCACATTTGATGATGCATAAATACACAGTCTTTGATTCATTTACTCCATGTGGCTCTGAGAGCTGAGATGCATATTTAGATTTTCTCAGACACATCAAGGTAAGTGCGCAAAGGTCACTCTCACACATACACACACTTTAATTTGCTGTTTTACACCATATAAAATCAGAAACTAAACTTTTTTTTTTTTTTTTGCATAGGCCTATTTAAAGGGTTAATGGCGCCAGTGATGATTAACAGTAAAAATTACAAAATTGACCTCTTCCCAACAGGGAAAAATACAAAGTACATGATTATACGGTGTCATGGTTTTGCAATAAAAAAGATGTAGTTATACCGAAAGTCAATGGGGCAAAAACAGCCACCAATAGTAAATTGGCAAGAAAAATGAAAATTAAAACACACATGTGCAAGACTTTGATAAAAGGTAAATAAAAAAATCCAGTCCACAATTACTTTTTATATTAAAAACACCAAATTAGTAACAACATTTATAAACTTGCCAATTAAAATCCTGTAAGTTTCTAAATAATTTAGTTGTTTTGATCAGTACTGAGGCTGATTAACAGATTTCTGTAACAAAAAACAAAACAAAAAAAAATGTAGATTTGTCTGATGTATTTTTACAGCAGTTTAATTTAGTGGATGTTTAACAAAAGGATAGTATTTGGCCAGAGTCTATTGTTGTAAAATAAGATTTGACACCAAAAAATCATTCTGCTCGCTGAAACACAGAAATGGCCCATTTCCTCTGACTGGTACAGTACAGTACGGTATGGGCCTTTTCGGGTCACCTTCATCAGGCTTGCATTTCCACTACCAAGGGTACTCTTTTGGTGGGTGAGGTGTATGAGAGAAAGTTTCAGTAGACATCAGTCACCCTCGAATAAATGTGTACAGTAAAGCTGTACAGGTTGTTTACATATCACATGAGAAGCACTTCTCACAAAACAGATGCTTTATACACATAAATACTTGTTTATAAATGTTTATTACTAACTTTTCTATGAACATGATTTGATTATAACTGCAGATCAATGACAGTGCCTGAAATAGCCTACTGTAACATCTGCAGTTATGTAAAATAAATAAATAAATGAACATATATGAACACATACAGCCCCTTAGAGTCTCCGATATGTTACCAACTACAGAAAAACCACACACAGCATACATTTAGTCCTTATTTAGGTTTATAAACAACACGCAACATAGCCCACAGTCAGTACAAACCTCTCATCTATGTAATCTTCACCATCACATGTAAACTCTGTTAGAGAGTAACTGTCATTCCGAGTTCATAACAGTCCAAAAGGCGATGATAAACGTGGCAGTTTGTTTGTGATTCAGGTTGCTGAAACAACTTGCTCCTGTGTTTTGTCGGGCTTCTCCTTTGTTCGCGCTTCACTCTCTCCTTTTTCCTTTTCTTTCTGAAAGGATCTGATGACGGAGACACTTCAATAATCACGCACACGTTATTATTATCAGCCCAAAAAGTTCATTATATCAAATATAGATGCGATCGCGAGCTCCCCTCATAAAACAACAACTGGACACGGCAGATTTAGTTCTTCTTGGCTTTGTGTCTGTACATCAAGACAATGAGTAACAATGCATAAGTTCTGTTTGAGCTTGGGTCTTCCATGGTAGAGATCTGCGCGGGACTAAATTTTGAATCCCGCTCCCGCCCGCACCCGCCAGGTTTTAGCCCGAACCCGACCGCTCCTGCTTATATTAAGAATTTATTGTCCAGCTGCCCGACCCGCCCTGTTTTCTGGCCGCCGCGCCCGATCCCGCTAAAGAGCGGGGGAGAACAAAACCGAAAATCCCTCAGCTATACAGTCCAGACAGCCAAGCTGTCTGTATAAACACACACACACAGACAAATCTCTCTCTCTCTTACGCGCGTGCGCACTAACACACACACAAGCACCAAGCAGACACACAGGCGTTTGCTGTTATATCAACTCAAAGGCTTGTAATACCATGTATCAAGTACCAATGTAATACCAAAAGGTTTTATATAAAGGTATATAAATACTGAGTCGCGCCAAATCCGGGCCGCAGCGCACATTACGCTCGGGCCGATTCCGGCGCCGGCCGCCACATCTGGCCCGATTGATTCGGGCCGGAATCGGGCAGTGAGTCCACAAGCATCCGGGGTCCGGCAGCCGGAGCCGGGCTGAGTGGTAAGTCTCCGGCAGGCGAGAATCTAGCCGGAACTGGCCCGAGTATATTTTGCAATCTGGGAAAGCTCTCTGTCTCTCATTCGCGCACGCGCGCACTAACATACACAAGCACCAAGCACACACACAGGCAAAGCTCTCTCTCTCTCTCTCTCTCTGTCTCTCTCTATTATTCGCATAGCAATATCCGCGATATTGCTGAACAGCACGCTCTTGTCCCAAATTAAACCCGTTACCGACCGCTCCCGCGATTTATTCTGAAATTTATTCCCCCGCCACAGAAATCTGGTCGGGTCCTGCGGCGCCCGCGGGAATGCAGACCTCTAGTCCATGGCTCGTTATTATATGCATTAGTTTTACAGTGTAATGTCTCGGCTGTGTATAAAAACATGGCAGTCCCTTTGTTTTCATTCTGGCTAGCTCCACACAAGCTCCTGACGTATCTCTGTAACCAATCAGCGTTCAGCTGCGCGTGTAGCTCCACCTTTTGGTACACTTTCTCATGTTTGGTACCCTTTTGAAAGGGTGCCGAAAAAGTGGTACGGTACGGTTCGGTACGCCTTTTGACAGTGGAAACGGCCATTAAAGCGTACCAAACCGAACCGTACCGTACCACTTAGTGGAAGCAGGGCAAAAAAGTTATGGCCAATTTAAGACTCAAAATCACTCCAGAGTGGATGAAAACATCCCCAACAGTACATAAGGGTTAACCACTAAGTGGTCTAAAATGTAAAGCAC